GCTCGCCCCGATTCCCCCGTTTGTCCTCTGCTCACGGAAATCGAATCCGTGTGCCGACCCAACGCTCACGTGCAATGGCTTGACACTGGTCGAATGCGGAAACCCTGCCTAACCACACCCTGCGAACTTTATTTGTCTTTAAACCCCCCCCACACAATCGCTTCCCCTCCACCCTCCGCCATGTCCTCAATTCGCACAGGCTCCCTTATGACAGAAGACGAGGAGGATTGGGAAGATTATGTCAAGGGCGGATACCACCCTGTCCAACTGGGAGACACATTCAGTGACGGCCGTTATACCGTGGTCCGAAAACTAGGATGGGGCCATTTCAGCACCGTCTGGCTGGCCAAGGACTCCAAGTAGGCTCTTTGGAAATAGCCGAATGATCGAGACTGACGCCTCTCATAGACAGAACCGCCATGTCGCGCTCAAAGTCGTCAAGTCTGCACAACGCTATACCGAGACCGCACTCGACGAAATCAAGCTGCTACAACGGCTGATCAGCGGCGACGTCAACCACCCGGGTCGAAGACATGTGATAGGTATGCACACCACAACTGACATGCCGACCAACGTTGACGGCACACAGGTTTCCTGGACCATTTCCGCCACAAGGGACCGAATGGCAATCACGTTTGCATGGTGTTTGAAGTTCTTGGCGAGAACTTGCTCGGACTCATCAAGCGACACCAGGCAAGTGCATTTCCTGCTCGCCTGTATCCTTGGCTAACGTCAATACAGGCCAAGGGTGTGCCGGTACATCTCGTAAAGCAGATTGCAAAGCAAATATTGCTCGGTCTCGACTATATGCACAGACAGTGTGGCGTCATACACACAGTGCGTCTTGCCGATTCACGCGCATCTTTCTTTGCTAACACATATGCGTAGGATCTAAAACCCGAAAACGTGCTTGTTTGTATAGATGATGTCGAAGCTGTGGTGCAGGTACGTCGTCCGAAAACTAAACTCCGAGGCATTCCTAACCCGACCGCGTAGGCCGAACTGGAATCTGCTCAGAATACGCAGACGCCCACCAAGATCGTGGGAGTCCCACCCTCGCGAGGACGTGGAGGGAACCAGACTCCACGATCCGAGTCGATATTCATCACTGGCTCACAACCGCTTCCATCCCCTTCGTCTAGTTATGGCACAAGTCCTGCGTTTGACAAGTGGGCCTTTGGCATGTCGCGCATCAACGCCGAAGAAGAAGAGGCGAATGGCAAGAAATCTGACACGAATACTGAAAGCGTCGAGCGTGCGATGGGAGACGTTCGCGTACATGATTCCCCAGGACCCGGACCCGCGCCCAAGGCCGCAGCCGGGCCAAGCTTGCTCACGCGCAATGCTCCGGCCGACGTACATAGCCAGCAGCCGACCCCGAGTAGTAGCAACGTTAGTAATGGCAAGAGCACGAGTTCGCCGTCGCCCCATAGCATCAAGGCACAAGTTGTTGCCGCCAATGACCACTCCCCGTCTCCCCTCCCTGGAGACGTCGCAGCAAGCATCGCGTCGCTCGATCCTGCTGCACTAGGCGAGCGCATCACGGTCAAGATTGCTGACCTCGGCAACGCGTGCTGGACCGACCACCACTTTACGGACGACATCCAGACCAGGCAGTACAGGTGTCCAGAGGTGATATTGGGTGCCAAATGGGGTACCAGCGCAGATGTGTGGAGCGCGGCTTGTGTGGTACGTACAACGGTGGAGTCTTGTTCGCGAAGCTAATTCTGCTTAGATCTTTGAGCTCTTGACCGGCGGAGATTACCTTTTCGACCCCCAAGCTGGGACCAAGTACAGCAAGGATGACGACCATATTGCGCAGATTATCGAACTACTGGGTGAATTCCCGAAGTCTATTGCATTTTCTGGCAAGTACAGCGGTGAATTTTTCAACCGAAAAGGTATGCGGTTCCTGTGCTGAACTGCACCGAAGCTCACGATTCACAGGCGAACTGCGACACATTCACAAACTCAGGTTTTGGCCGATCGAGGCCGTCTTGCACGACAAGTACCTCTTGCCACGCGCCGACGCCGAGATGATTGGGTCATTCCTCACGCCCATGATGCGTCTAAGTCCTGAAAAGCGTGCCCGCGCGGCTGACATGGTCAACCACCCATGGCTCGAGGGTATCGTCGTTCAGGGCGAAATTGACATGATCCTATTGGCTGAGGAGCGCAAAGAGCGTGGCCGGTCGGGCTCGCGCTCTATCGGGCGGGGTACGCCCTCTGGATCCAAGTCCAAGTCGGGCAGCAAAGGTGGATCCCAGCGACGGCCGAGCGGGCCCCGGGACCCGATCACGAGCGTCCAGGCACTGAACGAGGCCGCCACGATTGATGCCATGCGACCTGTTGACGAAGCCGCGATACTCGGCGGAAACGTATAAACTTTAACGAGATTTAGATTTCATTTTGCTTGAACTATGGGTTTTATTCTCTATGCAACACCTGTTACGTACATACACTCCCCTTAGCCTATGTTTTTGATTATGCCTTGGTGTTCATATTCTTGTTCTTTATGGCTGCGGCCGCTGATACAGGTCGTGGTCGTCGGTGGGGTTGGTGAATAGTCGATGTGATATTGTACAGTACAAATGCAAGGAACAATCAGAAGACGAAGTACAGGTATACAGGGGTCATGAAAGCAAGGGTGGCAACCGCCTTTGTTTATTGCAAGGGCTCGAAAGACATGTCGTCTTTGAAAGCAGAGACCATGTCTGTAATGTCCATCTCGGGTTGGGTATAGTTGGCCAACTCGGCCTTTTCACGTTCGGTTAGTCGCCGAGGGCGGGCGGTGTACGACGCAGGTGGCGAAGATGGAGTCCAGGTGGGGGTAGTAGGCGACCACGAGCGAGTGGACGAAGCGGATGACATGCTACTCATGGATCCACTATGCCGATGGCCCCGCTGGGGTTGGAACTCCATGCTACTCGATGTACGCGTGTGCCTACCTCGCTGGAGGATGTGGTCAGTGCTTGGTCCGATTCGCAAGAGATGAACATACCTGGCCCAGACTTTCGTTTGGAGCATTTTGGGAAGCGGCGGACGGTGTGTACAAGACATTTTTCAACGCAGCAAAGTCATCAAATGTCAGTGAGAAGCCCTTGATAGTCGAGAGAGACGCGGACGGCCGAGACATTACGACGGGAGTAGGCGAGAGGAGAAGGGTAGGTTTGCTGCGGCTCAAACCGGAGTATATATCGATGGCGAGACATGGTAAAAGGAAACAAGCGGCGGACGCGTGGAGGTGTCGAAGCACCATCGATCAAGGGAGCCCAATTGTCCTTTGTTATGGCTCGCGCGTATTGTTTGCTGGCAGAGTTGTATGCGGGCCATCGCCGTGGTCGATGTGTGCATACATCTTGTCCTCGTCCCTCGCCATGCTCTGATGCCGCTAGTACGAGTCTCACGCGGCCCGGAGACAATAGCGAGAGTGGCGGTGACCGGCGCTTTGTCAAGCGCCGAGCCGGTATTTCACGACGAATCGCACAGACCAGCAAACCAGAGGGGCTTGTGAGACAGACGATGGCTCGCAATTTGTTCGAAATACGGAGCGTCGCACTCTTGCTCTCAACTACCACCAGCTTTTCCCCCCCGTAGGAGCACAACCCCCAGCCCAGCTCGTTTTCCGTACTTGAATCGACTCGTAAACTCGTACAATGGCTCGCACCAAGGTCAGTACTCATCCTGCGCATGTATCTGCCACGACAGATGTTCTCTTCATCGTCGTTGCGGTCGTGGCTGGTCCCGTCGCCATCGTTTGAGCCGTTACTGACGTATCCCTCGGTTTGTTTCCGGCATACATCCGGTCGATCTCATATCGCGCTCCGCATCGCCCGCCACGTCACCCGATCTGGACACATGATCTGTTCTCGACACCGGGCCGACGCTGCTACACAAATCCCGCCCTTCCATATATGGAAATACCCAAACACATACCGACATATAAACTCTACAGCAAACCGCACGCAAGTCTACCGGAGGCAAGGCCCCCCGTAAGCAACTCGCTACCAAGCAAGCTCGCAAGAGCGCACCGCAGACCACTGGTGGTGTGAAGAAGCCTCACCGCTTCCGCCCGGGAACTGTCGCTCTTCGTGAAATTCGTCGTTACCAGAAGAGCACCGAGTTGCTCATCCGCAAGTTGCCGTTCCAGCGTCTTGTACGCGAGATTGCTCAGGACTTTAAGACCGACCTGCGCTTCCAGTCGTCGGCTGTCCTTGCTCTTCAAGAGGCCAGCGAGGGTGAGTGTTATCATCGTGGGGCTACACCGCTTGCTCATTGTATCATAGCCTATCTCGTCTCGCTCTTTGAGGACACCAACTTGGCTGCCATTCACGCCAAGCGTGTTACCATGTAAGCAAAAGTCTACAGTCTGCTAGGCAGCCGCTGATCCATTTTCTAGTCAACCCAAGGATCTCGCTCTCGCCCGTCGTCTCCGTGGCGAGCGTTCGTAAACGCGTATTGTCTTAAATTAGCCCTATGCACCCGTCTGTTTATTCTTTGTATTCTGCTGTATCTTGGTGCATTTGGCCTTTGTGTTTCTTTATTAGTTCCTGGATTGGAGACCCCGCCCCCTCGGAAATCTTGTATCCAAGTGCTCAAATGAACGTTTGTTGACTGATCCACCCCATGATTCATGAACCAGGTGGAGCATGATTTGAGTGATGTCAAGTGAGGCCAACGTAGCGAGCTTTATCTTTCGGAATTACTTATATGCGTGTGTGAATATATGCACTGGCTGTCTGGCTCTTGGCCTATTTTATGAGTATCGCATCACATTCCAATATTCTACCGCTAGATTTGCTCTAGCATTTTTGGGGCCTTTGGAGCGTGAACCTCAGAGTTGGCCGGGAAAGTGTAGCTCTCCCGTCTTTCTCTAGGTTACTCGCTCAGAGCATAATCCTAACAAAGCCTCAGGGGCGAGAGGGTCTTTCGAGAGGTCAACTCTATTGTCAAGGCCCTAGGATTGATGCACGTGACTGATTTTTGTATCAATAGTTCAAGCCCTTATAGCTCAGTGGTAGAGCGTTGCACTTGTATGCGTAAATTGCGCTTGAACGCTTACGTAATCACTATGCAAAGGTCCGTTGTTCAATCCAGCGTGGGGGCACTCTTTTTAGCGTTTTAAACGCACCCAGAATCGCTACAAACCGTCGCGGGGATGATACGGAGGCTCGAAAACAAGTTTGGGAATATGTCACGTGATACAAGTGAGCCAAAAATGAATTTTCACCAGCTTTTTACCGCATGGCAGGAATAGCTATTTTTACGAGCTTTACCGAGAAATATACTGATAGTAGGATGATATGAACTGTTTTGGTGGCATTCCCTGGGAGTATGTCACTTCAGATGTTGGTCGAACCTCTAGTTAAATACTCATTCTATGAGTTCAAGTAGGCACTTTAAGTCTACTTAGTCTTATAGCCACAAAAAATTCAGCTATTCATATTTGAGATTTTTGTAGCGATCGCGATGCTGCGTTAGAATAGATATAAATTAGCGCTCCAGTACTAGTGGCTGTGTCCTGGCCTCTTTGACGTTCGCGCGCCTACAAAAAACCCCGTTTTACCTATCTTGCTGATCGCCAAGCTCTTTGTGAGCGGTGCCAGAATGACTTCGCTCACGTTGAACCTCACCATGGCTCCTGTGAGCTAGTACTGAACGTGTACCATCCATATGATGCTGAACGCTTGCTCTTGTCGCGTCGGAAAATGAGGCGCTCCAAGGACTTTCTTAGTTATCCACCCCGAGACCTCCGGTCCAAAGCTCAAAGTTAACCGCCGAGGGGCACTTTTTGTGCCGAGTATCCAAGCAGACTTCATGCCGCTGAAACAGTCTTGGATGAACCGCATGCAGCCAAAGTTCCCTTGCGCTCTATATCAATGTTGAGCCTTCAAGTCACCCATTTCGACTAGACTCAATGGGATCCCTGGTGAAGGCAGTGTGAGCAGCTAAATTTTCTTCATACTTAAACCTATGCGTTGGCCGTTAAACTGTGGGGTAGAGCCGGCCCTATTAATCCCGGCTACGCTACAAACCTGGTCCCGTGAATGGTTCCGTTGATTAAAATACCGAGTCCCCAATGCTAGCCCAGTCACTGGCACATCAATGGAAAAGAGTATATTCATTGAAAACATATGACCAAAACTCCCTACATCAAGCTACATCAAGCGGCCACGCGTACAGGGACTCGAGACTGATTGCTCGAGGAAAATAGACATTTAGAAATCGTTTACAGGCTTATTCGGAGTCGACGATAATGATGTCACGGTCAGTATCAACCGGTGTATCAGCATTCGTTGCTGACGCCCGTCTGTACGACGCTGTGGTGTGCCTTGGAGGCGACGTTTGTATCACTTGAACGCGGGCGCTCCCCTGCCTCGACTCTGGCGAACAAGTCGCGGATCCGTTGGCGTGTGCTGGGCCTTTCCATGTATTGATGTAAAATCTTGTTAGGATTACCGTTCACATTCGAGGCACGAAGAACTCCTTCGTTCGTGATCATCCCACGGGCAGTTCCCATAAACTCTCGTATTTCCGGCATATAAACGCGGATCTCTTCTGGGTCGAGCTGGTAGACGGTTACACGTGGTTTGTACAGATTCGATCATGTTGCTCACCGAGGATAGCTCTGCAATTTCCTCAACCTTTTCGTCGTTCAAATCAACCCACCAATCCATCTTTCGTATCTCATTGGCTTCAAACTGATAGCCCATTTCGAGTTCTTCGGCGAGCTGTCTTGCCCTCCGGGATTCTCGATAGGCCTTAGTCGAGGATTTAGTCGAAGAGGCGGGTACCGGGGCCCAAGCAGCAGATTCTGGCATTCCACGTGCTTGCAGACCTTGCAATACATCAGCATTCGCCAACTAGGTAACAAAAAGTAAACTCACCGGGATTTGATGGGACGACCGCTTGGGGTTCCGACACTTGAGCACTATACACAGATATGTCGTCCCCGTCGGGCTAGGTCGGGCATAAACCAATGCGACCAAAGTTGAAATTAGGAATATACCCACCATATCCTCGTTTTCGTCATCATCCGAATTGGCCGTAAAAGCTTATCGAATAAGCCCCGGCTATGAGCGGATGATCATATCGGGGAATGTATGCGGAACTTACCATCGTCATCTCCAATTTTACGCTTCTTGACTTGACGGGTTGGCTTGGTTTTATCACAAACAGGAGCAGGAATAAGAGACGGAGAGGAAACACGGTGAGGGGGAGGAACGACGGTTGTCACGGTGGCGGGCTCGAGAGATACTGATGGCAAGTCAGCCAATAGGTCTTCAAGCAAACGAACACCCACACCTTTGGCGCTCTTGCGGGGGATTTTTGACGGGGGCGAGGGGCGTTGCTGCATTGCAGGGTTGGATCCGCATACAACGATAGGTGCCAGGCAGGAAGAGCTTACCGAGGACATTCTTGAGACGAAAGTAGCGAAGCGCTTGGGGTGGCGGCGGTTGAAAGGGTGATGGAAGTAGATGAAGCGACAGAGAAAGCAGATGAAGCGACAGCGAGGATGAAATATATGAGGAACGCTTACGAGGTGAGGATAGGGGATACGGCCTTATGGGCAGGCGTGCAAAGTTTTATAGCTGTCTCCGGTGTGTTCGCGTTTGGCCCCGCCACCTAAACAACTCCCACAGCGCCAAAACCCAGGGGTGGGTTGATCATACGAACAAAGTCACCTTCAATCCACTCCTATATTCGGCGCGTAGAAGGCACCGGCGGGCCTCGGTGTTTGCGCAATCAACCCTAAGACGGAAGACGAGTTGCTATAGACCACCTTCACGGTTTGTACGATCCACATCTTGTAGATCAACGAGAATAGAGCAAGTCAACAAACCCTTGCGTTCGATGCAGAAATTGGGATAGGCAACCAAACTCCTTGATTGCATGTCGTAGACGCGAACTTGAACTCAAGGCCAACCAAAAGATCTCAGCTGAAAGCTGAGTTTGTACACAACATAATAGATACTAGTAGATATAATAAGAGTCGATTTTAGCCGCACAAGGAAAAGCCAGCAGAGCTAATCACCTCCAAAACGGTGATCTATGCCAGTTATAGCACAGGCGTTGCGCTACATTCGGTCCCTGAGCCAAATACACAGCAGACTTTCGGAACCTGAAGCATACACACGGGCTACCTCATGAGGTGGGCGCAAAGCTAATCTGAACAACGCATGGACCTGATGGCCCAAGGACCCCTTATGAGAAGGTGCGAACCATGAATGATTTACGAGAGCTAAGAAGCAATTAGAAAGACCAACTAAATCTGGTATTGTAGTACCCAGCCCAGACAGCACCCCACGGTACTCCGAGCGGCGGTCGGGGTCGAAAAACGGCGGAGTGGGTTGAGGTTTGTAAAGATGATCCAGAGCGACAAAAAGGAAACGAAGTCCGGAGCGCGGTTATATTATGCGCTCGAATGATGCGAGTCTCATGTATAGCTGGCAGAAATCTAATCGTTAATATGTGGTTGGGAACAAACAGTAGGTTCAGCCGTTCGTTGTTATCAGTTGATCAAGCGTGGCTCATTAGTGCAGGCAATGTTGATTTCGATGTGCTCGCCATAGATGCGACGCTGCCGAGCTTGTTGCTTGTATGTTGACCAATTTAAGAATATCCGGCATAGATCCGGCGCTTAATATTTGGTCTCGTCCTGGCCTCCTCCATGCCTTGACGTTCGCGCGTTGTCCCAAATTTGGATACTAGCCCCACAGAAGGAAGCATCTTAACTATCTAGCTGATCGTCAAGCTCTCCGCGAGTGGTACCAGGCCTAGCTCACCTTGAAGCTCACCCGAGTTCTTATGAGTTTATACCCAACGTCCATCATCCATGCCCCGAAAACATTCATGTCCGCTCGTTTGTTAGCAAAATCTACTTATAGCACTACTTTGATTATGCAAATATGGACACTAGTGCTAGGTACGTTGACCGTAGCTGGCGACTGACCGCGTCTCACCATCGATAACAGACCCACTCAAGATATAGAACGTTTTTGGGATTTGTTGGCTCGCAACTTGGGAAGATCACTCAAATATTTTCATCCCAAGGTTACTTGGCAAGATTTCTGTTACAAGGAGCCCGGAACGGAATACATGGATTGGGTATGTCAGTATTTTTGGAACAGCGGGAGTGAAATTTCCTAAGTTACAAAATGCTAGCCCAGTCGTCACAGCGCCTGTCCCTAATTGGATAGACAACTAATGATGTGATACCATATCTCAACCGGAATTCCGCACTGCCGGCATACTCGTTTTCTCGGGGACATTTGCTATTGAAGGCGCACGTACCGGTCCGATCACTCCGTTCTGTGTTTTCGTTCAGCCCTGGATCCTCGACAGTTCGTAGTTTAGCCTCACAGGGAGCAGCGTCGAAACCCTTGCCGTCAAATACTCGAACCTGTGTATTCGGTACGAGGGCAACAAGTCAATTAATCTAGCATATACGCCCATCACCCTAGTTCTTATACCAACCGACAAAAACGACTACTCGGGCGTTTTTCCGCAGCAACGAGGCTTCCATTGCTCCATTCGTAGGCCTCGCTGGCGTGCCCTTCTCTTAGACATTCTCCCTCGGTCGAATGAAGGTATCTACCCCGGACGACCCCACGTCCAAGAACCAATCACGTGGCGATAACGTGGAAAGGGGTCGCATCTCCTTTTGCCTAAAGTGTCGCCCCGGCTCATCATTCCGTGCTGAATGAACTCGTATCCTGCTTTGCTGGCACATAGGTGTATAGTAGATCTAGGTAATTATATCACGGAGCAGTATAGGGTTACAGCACGAACAACTATCGAAAACTGTCCAACACAAGAATAGATCTATGCCTTCAACAGGACTTCTGCGTAAGAACGAGCGCTGGTTGCGACAAGCTTAGCAGGGCCTTTACCCTCTGACACCATACCGACATCCTCCCAGTCTTCAAGGTCATCATGGCCAACGTGGCGGTTTGAAACATTGAATCCATCGTCGTCCAGGGCGAGCACGGCGCGGGTAGGGCGGATGATTTCAAAGTCTTCGAGGATATCAACTAGGCGCGACGTCAGCGCGCGAAAGATGAGGCGCGGAAAAACGCACCTTTGCGACGGGAGCGCGGTTGTCTG